CGGTCGCCCGCACCAGCCCTGGGGAGACGCCCTGGCTTGTGAAAAGCAGCTGTTGCAGCAATCAAGGAAGTGCAGATTGAAGGATGATGTTCCTACCCTCGCTTAAAATACTGACTCCAGTCCTTTTTTATCTGCGCCTGTTTTTTTCCCTGTGCCTTAGAAAACGGCAGGACTCCAGTCCGCCCTGATCCATGGCTGAGGAAGTTCCCACTCCCTGTCTCTGAGTTTGCGCAGGACTCATTGGAGCGGGGAGGGGGAGCTGGCTGTTCCTGATGCTGCATAGCTGAGGTAAACTTCTGGGTACGTCCTTTGCCTTTCTGGAAATAACCAGAGCAAACCCACTGCTCTCTTCTGCTGTGTCTTGTGGTCTGCACAGGCATGCAGAGCCTTCAAACCCTGCCGGGGAACAAGCATCCCCCTGTCCGATGGGGTGTTGTGCTGATGAGGGTGCTGTACTACTGCCGGAGTGCAGTGCTGCTGGGGTGTATGCCCATGCAGGGCATCATGTGGCTGGGGAGAGCCCGGCCTGGCATCGCAGCTGGTGGGGGGCTCACTGCACCCCAGCCCCGGTGCAGCTGTGTCCTGCCGAGCCGTGCAAAGCCACATTGCTGTTGGGCCTCTTTCCATGACTGCCCATGAGGTCCGATGGAGCCGTCCAGCACTCCGGGCTCGCTTCCTTCCCTGCTTCCTTCCCCCCCGGATAAATTCAGCCCTGCACCTGCCTTCAGGAGCGGGGCCAACCCCCCTCTTCCTTCCTCCGGGGCAGACAAATGCCCTCTTCACAATAACACATCCCTCCTGCCCCAAACCTGCCCCTCGGACCTTTTCCTCTCTCCCAAGCGACTCCTGCCTTTCCTCCCCACAGCTGGGACCCCGGGCGGCTCCAGGACCATAGGCTCTCTGCTCTGCAAGGTTTCCAAAACCTAAAGCCTCGGGCGAGGGGGTAACTCCCTGATCAGGAGATGCTCACCCCCCTGGACTTGCAGGGCTGCAGCTGATGCAACTTCAGCCCTTGTGCTGTTTTCCTGGCCCCTCTTTGGCTCCAGACCGCTGAGGATGGGAGGACCCCATCTCTCCTCTAAGTATTTTGGCTCTGTCTCGCCTGAATGTAAATCCTGGCTGTGAGTTCCCTCCGGGACCTTTGCTATATGGCCAAGCCCCTTCAGTTTTGGACTTGTGCCCATTTTTTGCTGGTGTTTCAGTTGAAAGTTTCCTCCTGGCTTGGCATTAGCTGTCAGGAGTTATATCTGCTTTGCAAACCTCTGCCTCCTGCTCATGAGGTCTGAGGCCATTTTGTGGTTTCCTCCATCTCTTGGGGATGAGTGTAGATGCTGGTGCCCGCCCGGGCCCCCGGGGGGAGGACAGCAGGGTTGCTCAGCCCTCGCCGGGACTCGGGCTGGCTGTGGTGTGCGAGCAGGGAGCATCCAGCATCGGGGACGCTCCCCCAGGTGCTGAAAAAAGACTTCGCAGAGCTGCTGCTGCCGCCTGAACCTTGCAGTGACGTCCAACTCCTTCAGTATTTGTGCATGGTCCTTGACGGTCCTCCATGGATCATCAGGTGCAAGGACATCTGTATGTCCAACTTATTTAATTGTTCCCTTTGCTGGCAGCCAGGAGGAGCCTGCAGTTCT